TTCAATTGCACCAATGGCTTAATGAAATGGCATTAAAAAAATTTAGCTTTAGTCATCATGACTTAACAAGATTAATAACATCTTTCATTCAAAAATATTGTTTCTACAGTTTATATTACTTTGGGAGAGGTGTGAATGACGATTTCGATGAGTCTTGCTTATCGTCCTCCAGTAATTCCGAAGCTAAAATACTTGATGTTGAAGAAAGCGCATCCGCAATGCTCTCTGCTTCATTGTCTGACTGCTTCCGTGCAACTCCAACAGACACTTTCACTTTTTTTGCAGAAATATCATCAGTAGGTGGTGCCATTCGGCCTGCAGAGAATGAATTGCAATGTTTTTTATTTTTATTAAAGAAACTAAAGAGGACTTCCTCTGAAGATACGGAAGACGCACCATAAATACTACGTATCACCATTGAGGTGGGATAGGATAAATAAATTATACATTTTATACATACTTACACAATGTACAAATTTATACGTTGTATATATTTATACAACATTATTCATCGATATTGCCAGCCACTGTAATGGGATAGGATAAAGAAATGAGGAACCAGTAATAGCATCTACACTCATTAAAGAGAGTTCCTTCTCTGCAGCTGTCTTTTTTTTTTAAAGTAGAAGACAACTTTATGCCAACAGCCTGTCACTTCAATACTGCATCTTTTGTAAATGATGAAGTAAAACACTGCTTTCACACCTCTGTCAGCACACTAGGGGGAAAAAAACCCCACACATTTATTTACATTATTGAGGTATATTGAGATGTATGACCAAAAAGCATTACACAAGCATAATGTATTTATTTTGATGTGCTGTTCAAAATTACCTATGCAGATTTTGCAGTTAAGATCGAAGAGATGATTTTTATGTTGACTTGTGGTGTCTGGAGATGCAGATTCGTTTACTTCTTTATCTTTTTCAGCTTCCTCTGACTTCTCAAATAACTTCATATTAGGTTCCTAAGAAAAGTCAAACACATTTCAGTTAGTCTTTTTTTCCTCTGTTAATATTCCTAATATTGCTATTCATATTACTTAATATTTTACAGCATTTTCTTCCCTTCAGCTGTAAAACCCTCCCTTCAGCTGTATAGCCTAAAAGGCTATCACGAAATCTACAAATGTATTAAGAGAATGAATTGGTATTCCTAAATATCTCTTTGGTAAGATTTAGAATATTTTCTACTATTGCCAAAATTAATCATACAGTCACGGACACAACTTGGGGGGAAGGACACCAACAAAACCACACAGCCCAGAAGTGAAAGTCAGTAAAGATAAAAGAAAAACTAAACTCAAACAAGACCTAACATATAATTACAGATCTGAGTAACAAAATCATATACAAACCACTACAACCATACTATCTATGACCTAAATACGCTGTATTGCTGTGTTGCCTTTTCTACCTGAATTTCCATAACTTCCTCTTGTTCTTTTATTGGTGTTTCACTTTCAATTTCTATTTCTCCTTTGTGAGTAATTTTTGTGATAGGTCTTCTTTCAACTTCCCTCTGTTCTTTCTCAATCATTTCAATTGTCTGTAAAAAGAGGAAGTTGCATATATTTACTTCCACATAAAAAAAAAAATGGAAATCCACAAATATAACAACAGAATATAGGACTGCAACTAGGAAATCCTCTGGGGAAAAAAGGAACATTTTTATTTTGCAAGTGTCAAGCAGCAGGTCAAACTTCATCTACAGCGCAGGAAGTACTTATCAGGTATGTATTTAAACAAGTTATAAGGCAGACCTTCAACACTAAATTTTAAGATAGGTAATTCTGATTCCCAAGAGCTAAAGATAAAAAATGCATCAGCACTTTTCCCATAATAATAGGGACAATACAAGACATAAATACAAATAGATTTGTATCATCTTTCCAGACCTTGTTTTTGAGTACATAAACCTAATGTTCTACCTCAATAAAAACATTTAAATGTATTCCTAAAGCAATTGATATGCTAATTCTGATCAGCACTGCTGTTTTGCTCTATCACAAAAAATGAAACATAAACTATTATTTCTAAACTGCTTCTGAAAGTACTTTTCTACTTCTTAAACCAGAAACAGTTTGTGTTGGCTGTCCCCAATATTTCAAGCCTGGTTTCATAAGGAAACAAGGATTCTGTGATTGCTTTATCTGTCTGCCAAATACCTACAGTTACTTTTGAACACACCAGGGAGACTTCAAAAAAATTAGTAAATAGCAGTCTTGAAGTTGTGCTTAAACAGAAACATTAAAGATACAATGACACAATACCCTGATATTTACTTTACATTTGCATTCCATTTCAACTTCTAGAAATTTTTAAATACTTATCTGAAATATTTAGGACCCTTCAGTAATTTTTAAGCAGCATATGCTTTTGTTTTGAAGTTGTAGCAGTGGAATACTGTTTTATATGGTCTGTTTTCAGTATTTTACTGATGTTTATAAAAATAAACGTAATGAAGATGTACTATAAAAGATGCGCTTTAGATAGCTACAAAATAAACAAATTTTTCATGCCTTTCTAGGCTCTCAAAACAACTCTGAGATAATCAAGTAATTCAACAGTTGTTTTTGCATAGGAAACAGCAAAAAGTTGTCATGATGCACAAACAGGTCTATTCACAATATGCAAAGAAAAAAACAGGAATAATTAATGTTGCAATGTAAATTGCAGTCTCTAAAACAGCATCCCACTGTACTGAATTAGTTATCACTGGATATTCTTTCATTCTGAGCACGCAGAGTTCAAAAGGATGAATTTCCATCTATTCTATGTTACAGTACCAACTCATTAATTTTTTATCAGAAGTCATCTGATATAACCCACAATTCCTAGTATCATAAAATCCAAACACAAAATGGATACCAGTTAACACTCCTCAAATTTTGTGCCCTTCAGTTCTATGAAGTGGCATATAAATACTCAAGATTCTGCCAACGCAAATCCAGATTTTGTAAGCTAGAAAACCCGATGCTGTAAACTGGACATTTCTAAGCAGCTGCAGTTTATCACTCATCAGACTAACTGCCTAATAAACAGGGTAATATCTAAGAAAAAGGCATCTTCTATAAAAATAATACAGCTCCTTATATTCCTGCTTCTCCTTCCTAACTGTCAACACAGCTATAAATATAGTGTGACTTTCTGTTTCAAGAAAAGTAATGTTCTAACTAACCTAACAAACTTCCTACACTTTGTTGTGGGTTTTGTTGTTGTTGTGTTTTTTTTTTTTTTACCATTTAGACTGCTTTTCAGCCTGGCAGATCAGGTGTTCAGCTTCAGGTTTACTTCTTAGAGAGTGAATGGTCACACTCCATCAGTATGTAAGTCAAACAACACCAGTTCAGTTTGGTTTGTCTCTCCCTTTTTAAGAAACTGGTGTCTTTAAAGCGTCAGCTAGTCCTTTAAAATCTTGTTGGAAATAAGGACAAAGCAGCCTTTGCTCTTGAGACAGAAGAAAGAGCGAGCAAGCAGCAACAAAGCTGCATGGCAAAGGAAAATGCATGGTCTCCCCTTTGCAGGAATTTACTACACTTCTTTTGCTTTTGTCCTAACAACCACTTTGGGTATTTAATACTAAGTAAATTCCAGAGATCTTCCTGATTAGTCAGAGTTGCTACGTGCAACACGCATTCTGTCCTTTCTACATATGCTTAACCTGAAAACAGAAGTTAAATACGCTTAGGCAGTCAACTAAACAACATAAGTTGACAAATCTCACGTGTCTGTTTTCTCTCTGTCTCCAAGCGGCCAGTTCTTTGGAAGCCAGTTCTTCTGGGCTCATTTTTATTAGATGGTCTGGAGTAACCTCTCCTTTCAGTACTTTCTTAAATAATATCTAGAAGAAAGGAGAAAAGTTAACTATTGCTATCAAGACAAAACCAGCAGGAAATTCAGAGAAGAAACATACAACATACTCTGTACAGCTATATGGAACGTATGCTTTTGTAATTATCTCCTACTGTAGGAAGCGGTACGAGATTTTATAAAGATAAAAAGCTTAACTCCAGAGCTCCATTTATTCTATGTAACAGACTGTATCTGTATGTACCCTTTATGATCAGATATATAATTAACTGTTGTTGCAAAGGAGGAAGTGAGTTTACGCCCATTGCAGCAGTTAACGTGGAGGTTTTGTGTAAAGATACAAATCCCCTGTATTACACAGCAGAAAGAAGCTAGCATTGAAGATGTCTATGCTTCTTGACTGACTGAACTGAATTCCTGGGGCAATAAAACCCCACCTAGCTTAGCAGTATGAGCAAAGAGAAGCCAGTGACTTAAGTCAACCTGCTCATATAATTTACAGTTGGTTAATTATAATATACTATAGACAAAGCAACTTGATCAGAGTAACTGATAAAAGGACAAAAGATAGAAGCTGAGAAGGTTGAGAATGATGTTGAATAATGGACTAATAAAAAAAACAGAAAAGAGAATGAAGACCAAGTCTGAGAAATCCAGGTATGAAAAAGACACTGGACAGAAACAAAAATAAGTGTAGTAAGCAGGAAAGAGTTATGAGGCTTGACAGGGACACCCAAACAACAGATCAGTGATAAAGACAAACACTCAAACTAGGCAAGCTGTACCCAGCACACTTTGAAACCTCACTATAAAAAGTACACTGGGAGCAAGGAATTGAAGAATTAATGATGGAGAAGAAGGGAAAAAAACTCAGAAAACACTGAGCACGTAGGAGGACAAACAACATCAAAGAGATGAGGAAACCTACAGAAAAAATAACAAAGAGGATAAATTGTGAAAGGATTAATAATGTATGTACATAGAAAACTGTTCCTTTAATCTACAACAACCAATAGATTTCTGGAAAGCAAAACAGACAAATAATACATACATTATTTTTAGGATCTTTTAGATTGAACATTAAACTTCTGTATTTGTTCTTATACTTTGAGTCGGTGTCCCGAAAAAAAGAAAACAGCTCTCTTTCAATCCTTGTGGCAACTTTTGCTGCTCTCTCCTCAGGAATCTTTAAACTGGAGTCTGTCAATCTGTGAGAGAACACAAGGGCAAAAATTACCAAATACTTCCAAATAGTTAACATTTTTTTCTCTGCCTTCTGAAAGAAAATAACATACAAACACATATTAATAATTTCATTTAATAATCTTTACCTTTTCATCAGAATTTCCTTAAGAGACTGCTTGACACTTTGTCTTATCTGATCAGCAGAAGGCTTGGAAGCTGGCACAGCTGGCAAGTGTGTTGCACTAATAGATCCTTTCTCATTTTTCTTTTTCTTAGATTCTTGTTTCTCATGAACACCTATCAAAACACATACAGTTAAAAATCGTAAGCTACTCAAGCCAGTGCTATAAACTTCTACTTTTGCTGGATGTCATGAAGTTTTATTTTTAAACTGCTAAGAATTGACCCTCAAGGAGAAATAATGGACTCACAGAGTGGTGCATTTTCCTAAGTTTTTTGTTTTACTTTTTTAGTTTGGATTTTGTACTACATAAATTAATCCAGAAAAACTTCCTTAGCAGAAACAAATAGGACTTTTGCCCTTTGATTTAAGGTATTTTCTTCTACACTGAACCGAGACGATGAGTAGTTCTAGTTTGATCTTAAGTAGGACTTTTTACTCTGAATTTTTGTAAAAGCATAGATTAATTTTTCCATGGACAAACTAATATACTGGGAAGCACTTATTGTAAGTATATTAAACTTTACTTTAAAATAGTGTTTTTCATTAAACTTAGCATTTCTGTATCTGTTCGCCATCAAAATTACTTCAGTTATAATAATATCAGCTTCTGATTCAGTAACAGACACTCTTAAACAAGGCCGTTGTAAGGTTTGCGTCATAAATATTACAAATAATGGAAATTACTAATCAAATTAAAATCATTAAAGAAAAATTCCAAATTCCTTCAAACTTTAATCTTCAGAGTATCAACTGAAAGCTCATTTGCCTCAGCACATGAACATGTCACTAACTTAGAGCAGAAGCATTCTATTTACGAAAGCAATAGGAAATTAACAAAATTTATTCACTTTCTGCTCTGAAAAAGAGACAAATCGAAGACTGATACAGATCTAACTTGAGCGTTTGATGGTAAAAAGAAGTATTTATTACTTTCACCTATTGAGTGCAACTCAAAACGTATTAATATCAGAAGCAAACTAGTTACGTTTTAAAGCAGCTATAAAAACAGATTTTCTTTTCTGTTGGGCAGACCAACCAGGCTTGGATCATCAACTCTCTCATTAATGCAACTATAATTCCTATCAAAATTACTGACTTCCCGTTCCTCATCAGCAAAGTGGCAGAGACCTGAGACAGCTGTTTGTCACTCTGCGCTGTGATCTACAGGATTCATATGCAAAGCTTGTTAAGCAAAGCAGCTCTAATAATGCTTGTATTTGCTCAATACATTTTTTTGCTCATCTGCTCCTCAGAAGGAGGATGAAGAACTGGACTAAAACCTTTCAAAAAAAACATAGCCTGAGGGGGTCAGGGGAAATGGAAAACCTCCACATGCCAGCAAGATTTTGGCAAAGTTTAAACCACCTGAAAACACAGCCACGTAACAGGGAAGTGATTGGCCAGATTAGCAATAAACGATGCCACCATAAGCATAATTCAAAGCAGTTAAGAGATTAAGACAAATGTGCTGCTTAATAATTTTATGCTAATTGTCCTAAATGAGACTGCCAAGCCTCCTCTCTGTTAAAAATCATTTTTAACATTAACTTCTATTCTGAAATTGTCATTGTAAAACTCTCTGTCATCTCCTAGTTCAATAAATATATTTTAGAACAATTCAATTATTTCATAGATGCCAAACTCATTTCACTCTATGTAGTTTGCAGTTAAAAAGGATGTCAATCATTTTGTGATCCAGAATTTCAAAGTTGAACAACGATGTATTTGAAGTCTAAAAGACACCATTCAGTATAATATATTTACATTTAGATTTACATTTAACCCTGACATTTTCCATTGTTTTCTTCCACCAAAAAGTTTCTAGAATGCATCAGCATTGACAAAAGACCAGAAGAGCAGATTTATTTATTTTTTTTTTTAGACAAGAATTCAAAGCTTGAGTTTAGGAGTTTAAGAAACAGTTCTCACACAAAAATCTCACTACCTTTGCTGCTGAGATTTCAGTCCGTAATGACAACGATTTCGTATTAGCATAATCTTAGAAGAATAAGTTTCCTGGAAGGGAGCCAAAGAAGGGGACGGAGGTTGCTAGGAGGGGAAGTATGCCCCTTCAACCTTTCAGATAAAATTGAGATGAAAATCTGATGGCTCAGCATGCAATATAACATTCCCCTTTGAAATGAGTTGACACAATTATTTGTCAATTTGTGCAAAAGACATCAGTAAGCAATTAAAACACTTTTATGGACATTAAGTACTTCACAGTATTTTATGACAGAATATTTCAAAGTCTTCTGCAACATGAAATAAAGTTTCATACAGAGATGTCTCTGTGTACTTTTTCTCCCAGTCTCAATTACATGAGCATCCTCTACTATTTAAACAGGAAACATTCACGTATCTGCACAGGAAACATTTACCTGCTAAATAAAAATCAAAAATAAATGAGAAATAAAAGATCATAAACATCATGGGAACAAACAGCTCTTCAGATCACCATCACTTGCACTACGAAATGTGGTTTGAAAAACTGGTACTATAAAGAAAATCATCTTTCACTGTACATATATGTGAATTACACCACTGTCTGATTTCATGGACCTTTCAACCACACTAAGGAATTCCTTACTTATTTTTTCGTTTTTATCTTCCGGGGATCGCCGAGGAATTACAGCAGCTTGTGATCCTTTACGGGCAGGAACATGTTGCCCTTTTTTAGCATCTGAGTCTCTGGACTCGGACAAGTTCTTCCCATCACCAGATTCCTGAAATATTTACATGTTAGCACGCTACTGAATGCTACAATGAACCAGTAAGTAACTATCACATGTTTTTCCCATTTTGTCAAGTATACTGTATAAGTAATTCCCTGGATGTATATCTTTATATTATTATACAATATTTTCTAAAAAGTTACTGAACAATATCCCAAATTACTGTCAAGTATTGCTTAATCCCTTTGAAATACTGGCCAAAGACACATCATGGGCAGTTTGAGTTAAGCTCTGTGTTGAAAATCACTATATTTTCAGCTATTTTAAAGGTGAGGGATACCAAGGAACATCCCTTAATCAGTTTTAGTCACATATCCACAGGAAGTCACTTATGATTAGAAAGCACATGTAAACCAAAACTAAACATAATAGTTTATATGTCAGAATTATAATACTACTTTTCAGAGATAAGACAAAAAGGATTACTGATGATTAATTTATGACGAGTATGATGCTATATACTAAAAGACTCTGCAGTAACAGAGTCTTTTAACTAACAACTGCAGTAAAAACATCTCACTGCTCTTACAAATTATCCTTTGGTTAGTAAAATGAGACACAAAGAAAGCAGAAAGGCTCTAATTAAAATGTTAAAAATTTTCCTCTGCATACAATCTGAAGTTAAACAATCAAAACTAAAATACTGATTTCATATTGGTTTACAGATATTTAAAAGATCTGCAGTTTGTATCATACAACAAATTGACTGATGTCCTGTAAAAGCATACAGAAATCTGAAAGTAAAATGCACAAAGTTCTTCACCATTTCTATATAAACCTATACATGTAGGTGCACACACACACGTGACATGCACATAACCCTGCTCAATGTAAGAGGAGTTCAGCAATATCACCTTGAAAGAGTTAAGTCAGTTAGAACATGAAGTAACTCTCAGAAATAATAATGGAGAAGTTTTAAATTAGATTCACAAAAACATTTGAAATATGGCAGGCAGGATATGGCAGGAGGTTAGCAGAAAACTCCTTCTACCCCCAATAATTAACAGAACTTTAAGTATTAAGTAAGACTCACCCGTCTGAAGATTTTGACTTTGTGCTTCCCAGTGTCCTCTGCTTGCTTTGTTTTTTCAGTTGTCATATTTAGATTACAAGCAGGTGTTTGCTTTGACATCCCTGGTTTTTCACACTCAATTGCTTTTTCTTCTCTATGGATTTCAAGTTTCACTTGAGTATCTGGTACACTTTGATCAAAACACTCCATTTTTTTGTCTTCTTCAGCACAGCATTTCACACACACGTATTCTTTATCTTCTTCACCCATCTGCTGCGCTTGAGAAAGACTCAGTCCAACACAATCACCGTGAAACCAATCATCACATCTACCACAGCCTACCATAAATCTGAAAACAAAGACAGGTGTAAGTCAGTGTATAGACTAAGAAAGAAGATACAGCAACTTAAGCACAATGTACCATACTTGTTTTGATTTCTACATCTCAACAATTCCTTCTTACCTGGTAAGTGATTTTCTTTGTAGCTTTACATCCAGCTCCAGCCTTACGACATGGTATGACCTTCCTGAGAAACAGGTTTTTTTGCCTTTTGCAATAGTCCAAGAGAATATCATAACCTCATTATGTCTTTTTGTAACCTGCCCCCAAATCCTACCAACAAGATTGTTTCAGACTACTGTTAAAAAAAAAAAAAGGAAAAAAATCCACCAAAAATCCGCAACTGCTAAAACTAGTAAACTTGATTGAAAAGACTTGAAGTTTTCTTGCAAGAGCATATTATCCCTGTTTTCCTTCAAATATAATCCCCTCACAGCAGACATGTATCAGCTGCACTCTTCCATAGCAGAAAGAGACGTCTGAGAGTTTTGACAAATACCATCAGCACAGAAACATCAAGATATTCCAAATGAGTTAGTGTTTTACATCACATTCCTTAGACGGTTATTACTGAATTACTTCCAGAAAGTTGACTCTTTACTAGTGAATATGAGGACAAGACTTTGGCTTCCAACTACATCTTGCTAGCTCACAGAGACCAATCTTTTAGCTTTAAATAAGGTACATGTCACTTTTGTGTTGCTCAGCTGTTTTATTCAAAGGTAGTAGTTATTTAAAGAATGTTTCAAATGCTAAAACAAGTATAATTTAAAGAACGCTTTTCATCTCCTAGTCACTTAAACTGTTTCATTATTTTTAAAGTCAAAGTAACTTTAGGTACAGATAGTATTTTCAAAGTGTTGGAAAGATCACTTGGTCTAAAATAAAACTATGAATTCTGACTATTTTTGCAGATGCATTCGGGAAACTCTACTAGGTATCACTAGTATCTAATTGCATTGAAAGGTACAATTTGCAGTGGAACTATTTTGGAAGGATGTAGAATTTCAAAGTTAAACAGGTTAAACAACCCAATAAATCTATTTCAGGAGATTTAATTGGCAATAATTATTTTTTACAATCCTTTCTTATAATAATGAATCATCATTACTAAAGATCTGCTTTTGAACGATGTAGGAAGATCCACTCATGTTCTTCCCTCTTTTTTTTTTGCTGTTGTATATTTACATAAAATACATTAAATACATGTACTATGACATATATTGTCTGTATGAAGAAAATCCATAAAGACTGCAAGTGTATTATCAAAAGTGTGAATGCTTTGTTAATACTGAAAAAATTACTGGATTATTAGTTTTTAAATTCCATAGAAGACAAAAGTAATTCAATGAAATGCTGGTTGTTAAGGCAATATATTCAGCAAGCTAAATATACTGACCTGCAAACCCTGTTTCTTTAATCTAATATCCTATAAATCTCCTTCATGACAACTCTAAGCAAAATGATTTCTAATGTACGCATGTCCCTATCAAGGCTAGGATCTGCTATCTGCTGACTTACCTACTTTGTAAACCCATTAAAATATTACAGAACATGCTTAGAGGAATTCTCGTTCATCAGAACTGTAGATGGTTTGATGCAGGTATTATATGCAAAAAACTACAGGTATCTCAAGAGATGAAATATCTATTTAACAGCAGATGTTTGAAACACAAGAGAAGGAAGGAAGAAAATATTGTGGCTTTATGCTCTGCCCTTGCTTACCCAAAATAAATCAGGATTAAATTCTGCTGAAGTAAACAGCATTTTGATGCAAAATGAGTGAGAGAAGTTTTAAAGCTCCGGGAGTTTGAGAAAGAGGTCATTTACAGCCTCACTAGCCTATGATGCTGCTTGCTAGATTTGAAGAAGCCAGTCTTTTAATTTAGTTTGTGAAGAAAACTATTTTCTCTTTATTTTTCTTTTTCTGAGCTGCAAATACATTTTTGGTACTAGTCATGACTAGCAAACAGTATCTGCTCATCTATTTAGTAGTTTCAATTAAGGAGGCAGAGGTTCCTTCATGTTTCTGTCAGTATCTCAATCTTTTCAGATCCATGTTCCAGCAAAGTTAAGATACAAGAAAGGTAACATGAGGGGCCAACTGCTTCTGATGGTCTTACCAGAGTAATATCGTAACATTCATAAGTGCAACAGGAAAACACGAGAGTAGTGACGGGACTTCAACGCAAAGATGACTGCTCCTTTCTGAGAGCCTAGAGCCAAACACAGGATGGCAGATGGCAGGAAATACAACGCAAGTGCCTATTTCACAACTGCAAGGATCCACTAGAGGATACTTTACATAGGATACATCTTCCACCACAGCAAGAAAATATTAGTAAAGCTTTGGGAATACCAAAACTGGTTACAAAAATGCCAAACATCAGATTTTTCTACAGAGCTGAAATAAGATCAAAGCATACCGACAAGTGCTTCTTGCTCAAAGGATATTTTAGTGAATGAATGTCTTTTGGTTAACAACAGAAGGAAACCAAGAATACACCATCTTGAAGCCACAACTACTACTTGAATTTTTAAAAATATACATATTTTTTCTCCTGTTTGGAAATTCAGGCATTGGAGACTAATGTGTTAAATAAGCAAGGCAGACTGTAACCTTTAGCAACAAAAACAAAATTTTGACTATTTAGAAAACAGACTAAATTTTTAAAAAAGGAGAGATGAACTCTGGAGACTAAAATACACAAGATGCTGCACATCTTCAACTTTAAATTGACATCGTGTAGAATTTTTCAGCATAGCTCACACCTAGTAAGTGGGCAGCAGGGATAGTGTATGATGAGTGAAGTACCAGATAGGCATCCAGTCTTGCATTTTTATTTTCAAGTCTACTAAAAAAAAAAAAAAAGTAAAACCTTTATAATGAATTTGGCTCATAAACAGATCATTCTTCCCTAACAATATACACCACGATGGACAGATGTCATTCAAGCCATCTTAAGCAAACTACTGAAGATGGCATATCCATTTGGCTTCATTCCAGTTTTCACAATAAGATTTCAATTACACTATATTTAAACACATACAATAAAACTTCAGAATTCAGGATTCAGAAAATTAGTCTACAAAGAGAATCTGGAAATGTCCATGAAGCTCATACTGTAAAACAGTGTTTACAATTGTCTTGCTTAAACCTAATTACACAAAATGGTAATAAAAATACCGGTGCTGCCTGCCTAAAAAAATTCACTATTTTCATACTAGTCAACTGCAAGACTGTGACTTCTAAGACTGGAAGAGAACATACTGATTTTGATAGCAGTAACGTAAATAATCCTTTTTACAATAAGGCCACTTTTACATCTTTTATCTGTTTCTCTCATCTGCACACAAAACACAATTATGCTTTGTAACAGCAATTGTAATTGCGTAACGGGCAATGCTCAAAGACTAAAAGGAGGAGTCAAGGGAAACTGAAGCCTGGCTTGAAGGATCAAGGATGTCCTCTTGAACAGCTGTCAGAGTTGTGACTGAAGAGGTTCTGATATCTTGGACTATTAAAACACCAAAGTTTATGACTGTAGACTGCTTCAAGTTTGAAGTGCAGGAGTTTTACCCATGTTGTAAGGCTGGATTGGAAGATGTAAAGCTGAAAGAGAAAGAAAAATGCATTTTAAAATATTAAATCATGCCATATTCAATAGTAGAATTGCTTTCACTGGACTTTAATATAAAAATCAAAATTTTGCTTAAGAAAAATCTAAAGAGAGTTGACAGGTGACAGCAGACAGTGCTATAGTTCATTGGGACCTTCGCATATAGTATATTATTGTTTCATTTCTTTTGAAAAATCCTCTTGGTAGTCCACATATCAGCATGAAAAGATGCATTTAAAATCAGACAGTAATAGATGATACATAAAGAGAGACAATAATTAATGCAAACCTTCCACCATTTCTCTTTGAATTGGGAGATTTTTCTTTGGTGTGTTATTTGCAGTAAATTAAATCCATCTGTTAGATGAAACACACAGGCTTGGACGATTTATTTTCAAAATATACAGGCCACGTTTTAAAATTCATTTACATACAATTAATTTATGTAACAAAAGCAAGATTCCAGACAAATCCATTACTGTGAAATAAGATTTTACAAGTAAAAGGGAGAGAAACCATCTTATTCATAAAACAATTGTTTGTTGTAAAGCTATACTTACAAGTAAAATAAAAGACAAAAAATTGGGAGCTGTTGGAATAGTGCAGTGTGGGCCAGCAATCAGCATTGTAGGATTAATTAATAATGTGAGGTACACTGCAACGGAAAATCATCTACTTGAGAAATAATTGCCTCTCTTTAGTCCTCTGCATTTGTGGTACATAGGGAAAACACTGCAATGAGACTTGAATCTTAAAAAAAAAAAAAAGCCAAACTACTCGAAACAACAGCCTACCTCCAAACTCACCTAAAAGGAGTAAAACCACTGTTCACGTACTTTTTAAAATACTTACAGTACTTAAAGCATGTCCCACACCTGCATTCCCCTCTCCCCCAATGGCATTGTTTACTAATCTTCTATAAAAATTGCTATAAATTTGTATTGACATTACAACTGTGTCTCAGCTGCACTGATGCTACAGTGCAGTCAACATTAAAGCAGAGACACTGCATGGAGGTAACTTTTTCCTTCAGCTAATAAAGATGTTACTACTAGAGAAGATATTCACGGCAGCTTTAGCAGAGCCTATGTTCCACGCCAGGGAAGTTGTATGGGATCAATTAAAAGTTCAAGAGAAATGACTATTTGCCAAAAAAAGCACTACCTTGTCAGAGTAGATATACATGAGCAGTTTCTCGTGTTTGCTTTTTGTACAAGTCTAACATAGGTGATTTTTCAGGTTTTGATCTTCTAGAAACAAGAACAAGCTATCTTCAAAGAAACACTATAAGCAGATCTCTTTACATGGAATTTGCAGCAGAGGAAAAAGAAACTGCAAACTTAATTCCTATGTATTAAATTTCAATAGTCCATATCTTTTATGTAATAT